GAATAATTTTATGTCTGAAAAGAGTTGTAAATATGGTATTTAGTTAGCATATGATGTATAGATCGTTATAATAAAGAAATATTTTGTATAATTAAGCACGATTTAAAAGTTATAGGATAATTAAAGAATTAATATGACCAATTAGTGTAAAAGTTTAGGACATTTCAATGAATAACTTTGTTAAATGTAAATATATTAATTATCCTTTATCGCATACTAATGTAGAACAAAAATGTCTATTTAATGATGTATAGCATGTTAGAGTTAAGATTTGTATTATATAAAAAAGTTGCAAGTTGTGCCATTTGCATAAAGAAAAATGATTGAAAATAAAGAGGCAAATGGGAATTGGCAAGCGGCTCTCTATAGAGTATAGCCGAAGTCTACCTTATGGGGGCAAATCATAGTAACATTGTAGTAGGAAGAACTACCAGTAACAAGCAGCAGTATCCGGTAGTAGCTGAAGTGACTAGTAGCAGAACACAGTGAAAAGTTAAAGTGAAATAGAAAAGTTTAGCTAGCCGAAAAAGGTCGTAACTGAAAAATCGCAGTTACACATAGTCGGAAAAAAGTGGCAACTGAAAATTCTCAGTTGCACATAGAAAAATAGTGTCAGCTAGCCAAAAATAGTGGTAACTGATATTCGCAGTTACATATAGTGAAAAAGTGTTGGCTAGCTGAAATAAGTGGTAACGGAAATTTCGCCGTTACATTTCGTGAAAAGTGTTAGCTAGACGGAAAAAGTGGTAACTGATATTCGCAGTTACAAAAGTGTTTAAATTCAACTAATTTTAGTTGATTAATAGCTGCTAGTCAGTAGTGTTAGAAAACCAGCTGCTACCAATAGAAATTTTGGATACTACCAATAGAAATTTGTTACTTTCAATAGATATTTAAAATTACCAATAGAAATTGTAGAGAATACCAATAGAAACTTGTTACTGCCAATAGAAATTTGATATTACCAACAGATATTTTAAAAATACGAATAGAAATTTTAGAAAACCAATAGAAATTTTAATATTACTGTGTGTTTAATTAAATCTGTGTTTTAAAATATATAGTGAACAATCATAGTTGAAAAATAGTGATAAATAAATAACAGTGTAAAATCTCGCGACAAATTAATTAGTCGATCCGCTGGCCACTCCCTTGCTATTTTAATTTACAAATCGTGCATTTTAATTTTGAACCTCAGTCCACAGTTTATCCGCAGCAACCAAAGAGACGGCAGTGAAAGACAGCAGTTGGAGGAGTCTGGAACCTACAGGTGTAGGACGTGAGCGACTCGCGGGGTATCTCCGACAACATTTACTCCGGAGAACTACGCCCGTCCGGCACAAAACCAGTCACGAGTTTGGGTGTTCGAAAATGAGTTAAAGCCAACAAAAATTGTTCGTTCACGGTGTGTTGCAAAAAAAAATGGTGGCCACGTTTGTCTCCAAAACCGGCCATATTACGACTATTCCTCTTGAGGGACAAAGAACGGTTAATGCAGAATGGTATGCTAGCATTTGTTTGCCACAGGTCGTTTCTGAACTCCGTAAAGAGAACTGCAACCGCCGCATCATCCGCCATCACGACAATGCGAGTTCTCACACCGCACACAGAACAAAGGAGTTTTTAGAGTAAGAAAACATAGAATTATTAGACCATCCGCCGTACAGCCCCAACCTAAGCCCTAATGATTTCTATACTTTCCCTAAAATAAAGAATACATTGCGTGGACAGAGATTTTCATTACCTGAAGAAGCTGTGGACGCCTACAAAACCCCAACTTCCGAATGGAATGGTTGCTTCAATGATTGGTTCCATCGTATGGAAAAATATGTCAAATTTAGCGGAGAATACTTCGAAAGGCAATAAATACATTTTTAAATAGTAATGTTGTGTCACTTCCTTGATTCCCGAAATTTTCAGTGCCGCCCTCGTACAAGCTTACCTACACATAATTTATAAAATTACCGTTACTATACTATACAAAACAAACCTTAACCTAAGATACAACATATAAGAAAATTAATAATAAATACATATATTACATACAAAACAATGCGTCGCCAACAGTGCTTTTCTCAGTGGTTTCATCGGATGCAGCAATGTATTGATGTAAATGGACAATATTTTCAAAAGATATAATAAAACTAATAACTTGCTAGTTTGTTCAGTTTTTGTATTTCTAAGAACTTTCAGTGTCAGCCTCGTACCTACTCATATTCATTAATTCCTAACAAGTCTCGTATTCCGTCAATGTAACAATCGCGATCTTTGAAGGTTACAAAGTTACAACGGCCTCGCAGTCCCATTTAAGAGAAGCTTATTGCGAGGCCCCAAACAAACGTGACTTTCTTTTTCAAGCGTAAAAGTGATCAAATTAATTAGTCATCTGTGGTAAAGTCTGGGGGCATCGCATTTTAGGAGGCCTCGCGAGGCTTCTTTAAGTGCGAGCCCGTGGGCGAGGGCCCACTTCGCCCATGCCTAGCTACTAGGGTTGCCAGATGTTCGGGATTCGTCTGGATTCTCCAGACATTTTAAATGATCTCCAGACTCCCGACTAAACTCAAAATCTTCAGACAAACAGCTTCTCTTGATATTGTAGCTTTGATTTAATAAAAGCTGAGTTAGTGATTACACTGAACTTTGAAGTAAATTGTTTGAATTTTAAATCTCTAAAGGACTGCCTGATTACCAAATTGGTGGACTCAATAAAGTCCAATATATAATAATGTGTCAACAATGGTAAGCCTTTTTGAAGCCTATTAATTAAAAAAAATATTAATTTTTAGTTCTCCCGGCAACAACCTCAAAATCCCGACATTTTCAAATGTTGTCTAGCTACGCCAATCTTACATGTATGTAACACAATTTACAACACAAAACAAATTAGAAATAGTGATCACCTCATTCCCAAGGGTTACTATCATTCATAAATTTCTTATATTATAATAACCCTTTTTATGCAAACTTAGTTTATTAAAGTTTTTGAACCTTGAGCAGGTTTTGTATATTTTCTGGGATTTTGTTGTGGGTATGTTGTGTGAGTGTGTGAGTATGATATAGGTATTAAGTTAATGCTCTCATTGAATAATATTAACAATATCGTGAACACAATAAAATATGTTCTCAATTAGCGAACAACTTTTTGTGGGTGAAAGTGTTGATTTTTCTACAAAACTGACTTTAAAAAGTATTTCTTAATGTTAAATTGTTGATTACTTTAAAATAAATAAATATATTGCTACATGGTTATTACAATAACTATTTTTCATTAAATATGTTTAAAAAATATACCATAATATTAGAGTATACAATAAAAAAAATTAACATGCCTAAATACGTTTCGGTTTCGGTTTCGGCCGAAACTGACACCCAGACCGAAGGTTCGTTTTCGGTTTCGGTTTCGTTTTCGGTTGAAGATCCTGTTTCGGTCGGACACTACTTGAAATAGACGTTATGGTCATTCTAAAAAAATAATAATAAAAATATTCCAAGTACCTAAGTAACGATCGTTTTGGAAAAAAACTTTGTTCACCTTATTTTACATTATTTTTCATCACGACCACAAATCTATGAATTCCATCGGGTATTTCTTATTATAATATTGTGCGTTGACTATGCTGACTTGATGCCGAGAGAGAAGCAGTAAATAGTGTAACTAGCAAATTTATTTTAAATAATTGAAAATTATAAAATTTGTATCATCTATGTATTTCAATATAAATTATTATTATTAATAATAAAAACTATTGGTCAAACCTTGATCAAATGTACATGGGACCACATGAGAAGCACCAGCTTTCAAATAAAAAAGAATCATCGTAATCGTTTCACCCAGAAAAGAGTTGAGGTAACACACATAAAAAAAAGAACGCAATCAAATTGAGTACCCACTACTTCCTCCTTTTTGAAGTCGACAGAAAAGCACACATAATACATATCTACGCAGAGATGTAAGTGAAATATAGCTTCTGCAATACACAAAAATATATTTCTTTTTTGTAAATTACGGTCGAATCGAAAGTAATACACGTTGAAACCACTGGGCGACCACTAATTTAAATAAATATAATTATAGTTCACACAAGTTATAAAAATATATTTTAAAGAAAAAAAAAATGTGGGATGGAATTATACAAACAACGCCCAACAATTTAATAATACTCTTTATTATCGTTTACAATTAATTCAGGTAAACATAACATGCGTCGCGTAGTCCGTTTATAAAACAAATTATTAAAACTTCTTATTAAATAAATATTTTTTTATTAATTTTAAATCGTTATTAAAACAGATTTTGAAGTTCATCAAGTATTACGTCTTATTATGCCTGTGCAAATATTAAAAGATAAGTAAACCGATTAATACATTTTTTCACGTATTATTCGGTAAGCAACAGTGAACCTATCTTTTTTAAAGAAACACTAAATTGACAAACCTATGCCCAATCGTTTGCTTTAAGGGCAGAGCACAACCCAAGAGAAAATATCAATACGTATTAAGCACAAGTAGTACATAACTTTTTTTTTATTTATTATAATCCAGTGCGTTCCTACAATCCCACCTGATGGTAAGTGGTGTTGAAGCCCTAAATGGTAAATCGCACTATCCTAGTGTGACAAAAGCCTATTTTATTACGCTCAGATTGTATTCGAAAGGAAAACTTGGCAACACCGTCGTTGGCGATGAATATAACACGCTAATGTTACCTGTCGGTCGTCCGCGCCCACACAATCCGAATGTATGGCCATGTTAGTTTCTCCATTTAATTTAATTTTTTGCGGGGTAAGCTTTTATTTACTCTCTGAAAACGATTACGTGAACAGAATCATATCAAATTGCCGTAATTTCCTATAACTCACGAGTAGCTCGCTAGTGATTACATAAAATATCATGCTCGTGAACCGGATATAAATAATATTGTTAGTATAAATAGAAAATTCGATTAACACAGACTGAATTGCAACAGGTGTGCACTGCCTTTAAATATAAAAAAAAATCTATTACAAATTACTATCATCGTGTTCGATTCTCACGTGACGGGTCCAGGCGTCAATGTTCTGAAAAAGCTGAAAAAATCAAAGGAAATGTCAATTCACTTAAAAGGTCTACGTTGCTATAGGTGTAAAGAGTGTAAAAAAATATGCCTCATTGGCGGAAGCGCGACTGCCGCTCACGAGGACCGGAGATCGAATCACGAATCGGCTCAAAAGTTATTGAACTTTTCTGTCAAGAAATTCTAAATGCCTGGAATTAGTTGTTTTTTACACTCGTGCCTTGAAAACCTGTCGATCCTGCGCCTGATAACTCTTCGGTTGTGACAGATTGCCGTGCCATCAGCTTGCACAGAATCCTATACTCTCGTCATGTATATAATCCTGTTTTCAGCAAATTTACGACCGGAGGCAGGACCACGCTCTCACAGAATAGCAGCGTAAAATAGCACCTTAATGCTGCTGTGTTTTGTATGGTGAGTGTAGAGAACCGGAGACACTTTTTACTGGAAAAGCGGCATTCTATCTTAGTCCTCACGGATGACAACGCATCTGCATTTTAATTCGCATTCGAAGATAGATGCAGATGTCTATGAGCCACAGCAATCACTTACCAGCAGGTGGACTGTGTGCTAGTTTGTCACCCTAAATCTATAAAAAAGGGTTTTATAGATTTTCCTTTCTTGATACTAGCCACCGTGGCCCAAATGCGGTCTGGAGGACATTATTATTTAAAATCCGTCAGGTCCAGGCAGAAAGACTACAGACACATTGTTACATTCTCTTTAATGTCTCACAAGCTACAACTATGTCATCTCTAACTATTGTACACAGTAATGCAATAAATAAATAATTATAAAATATTGGTAAATCCAATTGGGCATACCTTAAGCGCAATAAAAAAAATTACGTATAACATGATTAAACGGCATTTTTTAAAGTAGTTTAAATACATTTCGACAGCACTATCGGCTTCAACACCCTCGAAAACCATGAAAATGACACCCATGATGAAAAAATTGGTACCTAATTCAGCCGCCATCCTGGATTTACATTTCGACAGCACTATCGGCTTCAGCACCCTCGAAATCCATGAAAATGACACCCATGATGCAAAAATTGGTACCTATTTCAGCCACCATCCTGGATTTACATTTCGACAGCACTATAGGCTTCAACACTCTCGAAACCCATGAAAATGACACCCATGATGAAAAAATTAGTACCTACTTCAGCCGCCATCTTAGATTAACATTTCGACAGCACTATCGCCTTCAACACCCTCGAAAACCATGAAAATGATACCCAAGATGATAAAATTGGTACCTAATTCAGCCGCCATCCTGGATTTACATTTCGACAGCACTATCGGGTTTAACACTCTCGAAAACCATGAAAATGATACCCATGATGAAAAAATTTATACCTATTGCAGCCGCCACCTTGAATTTACATTTCGACAGCATTATCGGCTTCAGCACCCTCGAAAACCATGAAAATGACACCCATGATGAAAAAATTGAAACCTATTGCGGCCGCCATCTTGGATTTATATTTCGACAACCCTATCGGTTTCAACACCCTCAAAAACCATGAAAATGACACCCATGATGAAAAAATTGATACCTATTGCGGCCGCCATCTTGGATTTACATTTCGACAACCCTATCTGTTTCAACACACTCGAAAACCATGAAAATGTCACCCATGACAAATAAATTGATACTACTTACTTTCAATACGTACTACTATTATTTATTTTGTGCTTTTAAAATATTGTAATAAAAAAAATGTCTTATTATTATTATAATCAAGTATTTAAGAAATTGGGTTATTCGAATATTGTGTATTTGTACAGCGATCTTTTCGAGCCGCTGCAAACAACCGAAACATTGCCCACTCACGACGGCGATTGACGCCGAACTGAGTGTGAGTAAACTACTCTGTGGCTGTAGCTCCCCATTTACAGAAATAATTTACATACAAGGCTACCAAATCAACGAAAATTTCGCCATTTTGGAGCCGAAAAAAGTTAATTATAGCTAAACAAAACAAATTTACACTGCCATTTACATTCAGTGGCTTCCCACATGATAGATGAAGAGATTAAAAAATAGATTGAGTTAAACAATTGATATTTTCAAAAGTTATTGTGTTTACAAGCCTTGGGGACATGATAAATCCACACCATAGGCCACTAAAACCCCTTTTTTATTTAAAAATAGCATTAATCGATTTAAAAAAAAATATTAATAATTTCAACAATCATTTATCTTCTAACAATGTGTTTTTTTATATCATTTATATGTATAATATGATTGCTAGATACGATTTTATTCGATAAAACGTTGGAATCTTAATTTTTAGGCGATAGTAGAACATACCTTACGCTTTCGATTAAGGTATGCAATAGTCCAGGAAATGAAACATTTTGGCTCGCAATTTTTTCGTCCACCATGGATTTACTTGAAATGTTCACAGAAGGTAGGGAATAGCTCAAGGATCATTGTCCTTGGAGTTGCCACCCCATCTCGGAAGTGGGATTTTTATTACATTTTAACTATAGGAATCGACGGAAAAAGTAATTCTAAGCAAAAAAAATGTTATAAACGTTTTTTTTCTAAAACTAATATTTTTTGAGTTATTCAAAGTTGAAAGTCACAGTTTTTTGACGCATATATCGACTTTTTTAAATGTTTTTTTGCGAATAACTAAAAATATGCATTTTATCAAAAAAAGTGTAGAGAGCCAAATTGTAGCTTTAAAAAAAACAAAAACAATGCTTTTTTTATAATATTTCTACGACAAATACGAACTGAGATACAGCAAATTAATGCTTAGCTGTTTTCGTCAAATGCATAAATTGGAAGATTTAAAGCGAAATAACGAGAAAAATTTGCATTATTCGAACAACGCTCACAGAATCTTTTATAAAGTATTTAATTAGAGTTTTCAAACAAAAAAAAATGTCTCTACATAGTATGAAAACTGACCGACTTATGATCAAAATAAGATCGGTACCCGCTTTTTTCTACGAAAAAGTCTGTGAAAACAACCCCCAAAGTACCCCCTAATTAAAATTAATCGCCACCCTTCTGTGATTCTCTTTATATATGTACTATTAATACACCCACGAAGTTTGACCAATTTAAAATGCCTAATTTTAGAAAAATTGGAGTTTAAAGAGAAAACGATTTTTTCAATTTCGTGTTTTTAACCCTTTTCTTTCAAAATACTAAGGATACGGTAAACACGATATAGTATCAAATTGTAGCTCTTTTAATGGAAAAAATTTCCCTGTGTGCAGATATTTTGTACGGTGAATAATCGGCGAGATACCAGTATAGCCGTTTAACACCTACATTTACGATCGAACATCACCTTATTCAAGCGCTTTAAACTCTCCCCATTTAAAAATTAAGGGATCTTAAGTAATTTAATTTACATAATCTTATGGCTCCTGAAAAGCCCTACAAAATCGTTCCTGAAAAAATTTTCTATCACCTAAAATGAAGGAGCTATGCTTAAAAAACCGATCAATTTTTTTTAGAAAAATTCAAATTGCCCGCTTCGGAGCGGAGTAATCTACATAACCGGTATATTAGGCCGTTATACGTTATATATTCCACTTTTTCGATTCTTATTGGAAGACAGAGAAGAAGAAACATTTGCTCACGTGTATGCGTGTGTGAGCGTAAATTTCGTTGATTTCTCACCAATGTATTCTAAAGTTTGAAGACAGTAGCACGTGCTCTGACAATTTCAATGTTTTTAAGGGTAGTTTTTAAAAAGGGTATGTTGAAAGATTATGAAATTGTATCCTGAAGCATGAAACAATCATTATTTAACTGTTTTTACCCATATTTAGGTTTTTAATGTTATTTTATAATTTTTGACAATAAGGGGTAGTTTTCACCCCTAAAAAACAAAAAGCGTACAACGGCACAATGTAGAAAATGAACTAGAGGGTGAAATAAGCCTAATCCCATTTTTTTGTACAAATCGGTGCTGGACGAAAAAATTACGAGGCTTTACCATTTTTTTAGCTTCATTTCCTGGGCTAAAAGTTTGAACTAACACAGCTCTTATTTTAATATACATATGTATATTTCATATTTGTCCTGACATAGATAATATTTATATGTATTGTGTAGATATGTACTGTATGCATGTATATGTGTATGCATGTGTGTGTATATGTATATACAATTTTTTTAGCCGTTTCTATTTTAATTACTGCTGCACAGCCTCTTGTTTGTCTATCTCTGTTTAGGCTAATGGTTGACTGGGAGAGATCATTAAGTCCGCCATATGTACAACTTTGTGCATGAAAGTTTAAATAAATAAAATATTTTTAAAGTATTCTCATCTATCTGGGCTCAATAAATATATAAGAGGAAATCATAAATATACATAAATATACACAGTACACAGTAAATGTACACAGTAGTACAGAATGGGTCCCACATATAGGCAATAAATGAAACCACATACTTGGTATCGCCTTTGCTGACGATATACAAAAAATGAACGTAATCGGTCCAGTAATTAGGTAAAAAAATAGAGTTTTAATTTTAAGCAAATTTGAACTCTCTATAGAATTGGGTCACTGAATCCTTGAACATTAAAAAGTGACGTTGCCACGCAGTGCAAACTATTGCGACGTATTGCCAGCGGTGTCTTTTGGCGGTGTCTATAAACAAGCGACACGAGGCACGCGGCGCTCTTCAAAGGCAACGGCGCAGGTGCGCGCGCGCCTGTGTCGTAGAGTAGTAAACCTATTATTATCGACCATTAGCTTCTTTGAAAGGGAGTAATGATCCATAAACATTAAAAAAATGTTTAGCTTTAAATACTTAGGGCATGGTGTTTTTAGAATTATCCTGCTGTTATGATAATTCTAAAAACACTACGACCTAAGTATTTAAAGCTAGCTAAGTGTGTGTGACTTAGAGATATGTAATAAATTATTTTGACATGATAAAAAACCCATAAAAACAACCAATTAAAAAGTCATACTTACTCAATTGTACAAAAATAAACTTTTTTTTCCAACCATCAATAACTTCTCAATT